GGTTCTGCCTAGCAAGTCCCAGAACCATCCAGAGTTTAGTGAATTCCAGAGCCTTAACTCTGATGCTCACTTCCCAACCTTGGTCTGATACTGAACTCAATCACTTTGTGTGGACTGCAACCCAAGCAGCTCCTGGTGGCTGTGTTTGCCCCTGGTTCTTTACTATTTGTGAGCAGCAGGTGAGGAACAGCATTAGTCAGCCCCTCCAGCATTTGCATTAGGAAATTGTCACCAAGGCAGTCTACAAACTTCCTGGATGGCTTGCACAATGATGACCTTTCAGCAGGGGATTAAAATCCCCTGTGAGGGCCACAGCCAGATCAGGAAACTTCTTCTGGTTTTTAGAGGAAGCCTTACCCACTTCATCCCATTGGTCAGCAGTGAATCTGACTGCCACAACATCCCTAGCATTACTTTCTTTCTGATCATGACCCAGAAGCTCCCAAAAGACGTATCTCTGGTTGCATCCTGATGTTCTGTGCAATCAAGGAGCTGCTTTCTTGTAGAGCACAGCCCCCTTGCACCCTTTTTCCCCGCCTATCTTCCCAGCCTCCACCCATCCATGGCAGCGTGCCAGGCATGCGTGCTGTCCCACCAAGTCTATGGCATTCTGATTGTGTCATAGACCTGTGACTGCACTTGAACTTCCAATTTTTCTTGTTTGATGTCTCTGTGCATCAGTATAGAGACATTTGAGGTAAGCCTCTGAACATTCTTCCTTCAGAGCAAGAACATGCAGGTCTCACTACTAGCTTTCTCCCCATGCATTCTTCCTGCATTTGCAACATTTGCACCCTTTGCTCACTTAGGTCCCCATCATTGAAGTTAGTCTAAAGTCTTCCTCATTGAATTAGCAAGTCTGTTCATGAAGGTGTTCCTCACTCTGTTGGTCAGGTGGATTCTTTATTTTCCCATGGACCACCTTCATCAGCAAGCAAGGCTTCATGATCAAGAAGCCAAGAGTCTCACTAGTGACACCACCTGAGCCTGATAGCATCTGCTTGAGCCAGTCCTCTTCCAGACTGGAAAGATCAAGTCCATAGGCCACAGCATCGGGTGCCTGTGCATTCTTGCTCCAAGAGGGGGCAAAGCACCTCTCATCTGCTCAGGGTCTCTCTGCTTGTATCACTGTTGCCCACATGGATGAGCAGCGAGAAGTAGCATCTGAAAGGCTAGGTGAGACTCAGCCATTTCTCCATGCCATCATGGATTTGGAGTCTGGGCAATCAGCAAACCTCCCTAAACAATCAGTCTGGCTGGCAGGTTGGCCTGTGTCCCATAGAAGAGGGAATCATCAGCTACCATCACTTGTCACTTTCTTATCCAGTAACCTGTGATGTCTGGTCCAAAATCCTCCCTGACAGCATTTGGTCCTTCTCTGTCACCAGGACTCTGAACTGAGGTGAAGAGCTGCAGGTAGAAGGGGAGACTTCTCTCACTGCCAGAAGTAGCAAGCTTGCAGCTCCCCCTCTTCTGGGAATTCATGCTTTCTTCCTGCCCTTGTGTTGCCTCAGTCATACCTTCCTTCTTGCCTGCATGGGAGCTAGACACATTTAGCTTCCCTTTATATCCCTGCATGCCAGGTGTTTTGTTACATGCCATCTGTTTGCACCTCCTGGTTGCTAATGGTCCCTAGATACAAGATAAATAGGAAGCTAGAAGGAAGTCTGCTCTGCCCCTGTGTGAGATTTCCACCTTGGCAGACAGAACCTCTCATGCTGCTGGCTGGTTCCTGGCTTCCCTTGCTCGTGATTGGCAGTGCTCTCCTCCCATGCTGCAGTCCAAAAGTACTTCTGCCATCCAGCTCTTTGTGAAGCAGAAGGGACTGAGTAAATTACATACAGATATTGTACAACACTCTTGGGCCCAGAGAACCTAAGAGGGACAGGTAACTTCATGGATGGGATTACGATACTGCTCCATTCTACATACAGTGTTTACAAGCCATATCTCAAAGTGCTTTATTAAAGTATTTTGCCATTCTTTTACACGCCTACCACTAAGAGACTGCAGAATACCTTCTTTTTGACTTGTTAGAACTTTTGTGCACAGATTTGGAAAAGCACAGGTTTATTTTCTGCTGTGAGGATCTCTGGATGGTAACCTATTAATTGCACAAGGCTGGTATGTTTGGCCAGTGATTGATGAATAAAGTTTATTTACTACTTTTAAGTCTATCAGAATTGATGTGGTGATATGCTATTCTTCTCATCTATGCAGGTACCAGTGATAGCGATATTGGGTTCAGGAGGTGGATTTCGTGCCATGGTAGGGTTTGCTGGAGTCATGAAAGCACTTTATGAATCAGGAATTTTAGACTGTGCGACTTACATCGCTGGTCTCTCAGGATCCACGTGGTAAGGGTTTTCTCTTTTGTTTTTCTTCAGTTTTTCTTCAGGAAGTTCAAGAACAAATTTTCATGAGAGCTGACTTAATTCTAAGGTTGTAATTCACAGCAAATTTTACATATACACTATCAGTATGGAAAAGACATACGGAGACAGCTGTCTTGCAGCATAGCAGGTCAGTGGAGCAAGTCTGCTGGTGGTTTTAGAATGCTTTGAAGGGCGAAGACAGCTCAGTCTCCAGGTGATCTTCCTAGGAGCTTTGATAGCAGGAGTGGGTGAAAAGAGGTGCTACACATATGCAGCCACGTTTCTGTATCAACGCCAATGCTGTATGTACTAGGACTGTGTAACTGATTCTTTCATCTTGATAACAAAAAATGAAGAATTCAAGCCATTGGTATAAATCCAAAATATTTTTTGTGTTGCTTTATTTTCCTGATTAAATGAAAAAAAAAAAATTCCTTGTGACTTGAAGATGATGATTCATTCAACCCAAAATGGATTATATCCTTTTGGGGCACTTTTTAGAGATTCTGAAAATTACTGAAAGATCTTTTGCTCCATTTTAGACTGAGTAGTCCCCTTCTTGGTGGATTTACTAGGGATGTCTAGGGCCTGTTTGCTGATTCTTTCTTAGCATAAGGAGATTTGAGCAGATGTATTTCAGCTTGTAGGAAAGAATACCGACTGACTGTCATGCTGCAGGGCATGCTGCTATGGATTGCGTTGTATCACTCCTATTGTCACTGTTTAATTTAGAAATTACATCGTTTTTTAAAATAGTTTGTTAGATAGAAGAAAAGATCTTCCAAGATGTCTCGATTAGAATGCCCTAATCAGGTAGTTACGATGTTCTCCTGTCTGACTGAATGAAATCTTCAGCCCATTAACAAGAACAACATCACCAGGAGAAAATCAGAGTGACTTCACTGTGTGAAAGGCACTCTCTGGGTGTTATGAGCTCAGGGCTTTAGAGGCAGCAGAATGCTTTGAACCCCAGTATTATGTCTGCCTCAACCACTCTTCTGAATGAGAGGGTTTCTATTCTCCCTGCCTAGTGCTATGAACCTGCAGCCCTTTGTCTTCTTGGCTTTTATAAAAATTGTCCCAAATTACACTTATTACAAATGTTGAAACTATTTGTTTTGATGTTTCTTAAATGAAATGATGTAACATATTTAAAAGCTGTTATGGCTGGTTTTCATCAACCATAGACAGCTGACAAATTCATTCCAAATTTCTTAACTGTTTGGACTCCTTAACACTACATTTTTTTCATTAAGTGAAAAATTGCAGACTTTTTTTGTCTAACTTTAAAACTTGGTTTTAATGTCAATGGATCAGGTTGCAGTAGAGGATGTTACATCTTAAGAAAATTTTGAACTTTTCAAGGGAGTATCCCAAATGTCACAAAATACAATTTTATCATAACCAGGTTTTTTTTATGTACTGGTTTGAATACTGGAGCTGCATCTGAATCCAGTTTAGGGCCACCTAGAAAGGTGTTGACAAACTGGATTAATTCTATCAGAGTACCACCTAAGCAATTAGGGGACTGAAGCACATGAGAAAGTGAGGCAGCTGCATTTGTTCAGCCTTGAGGAGTAGGCAAGGGTAGTGGTGATGAGAGATCTTACTGTTATCTTCAGCTACCTAATGGGTAACTGTAAAGAAAACAGACTTTTTTTGGAGACTCACAGAGAAAGGACAAGGGGTAATGTCCAATAGTTACAGAAAGATAAATTTGATTAGCTATTAGGAAAATTATTTTGCAGTGGGAGTGGTCAAGCATTGGAATGTATTGCCGCATCCTTACTTGACTGGGCTGGGTAAGGTGTCGTCCTCTTTCTATCTGATTCAGTGAATACTTCATTTGAAAGTAGAACTTGAATGAACAAAGCCCTGAGCAACCTGATCTGACTTTTGAGTTGACTCTACATTGAGCAGGAGGTGGGAACAGAGACCTCGAGGTTCCTTCCAGTCTAAATTACAAGATTATATGAATATCTCATTTCTTCGAGAGTAAGGGATGAAGACTTTTTTTGGAATAGCTAAATATAAATGAGCAGGGAATCTGCCTGGGATGAGTTTTATCCCCTGGTTTAACTCTAAGGAAGCACATGAATTTTGGTTCCACATGTTCTAAGGAAATACTCTAACCCCAGAGTTGTTAACTTTTGAAATAGGTAATGATCTGTTCTATTCCTTGTGTGGTTTTTTTTCAATTATTTTTCACTTGTGTGAAGCTTGCTTCCCCCCTCTTATACTAGATAGAAAGCTTTCAGAATTCCAGAAGGTTTTGAAATGCCAAAAGTGTTTTATGAACTAGAGTAAGTTTCTCATACAGATTGAACTATAAAAGATGGGCATCCCTGGAACCTGGGTTTTCTATCACTGGGGGGGGGCAGATTTATCACTGTCTACTGAGAGACCTGGATGTACTTTTGTCAAATTGCAAAAAGTGGAAGATATCATTTGGCTGGATGAAGAACAATTGAATAGTGCAATGCAGTGTGAAAAATCTTCACTGTGTTTCTAGGGAATGGTATGTAGTCCATGTTCTCAAAAGACATCAGTCAGCTGGCCATGAGGTCCTTTTTTGGGAAAATCTGGGTGTGAATACGTAGTTGATCTAATGTAAACCTATAAAATTTGTATTAAAATAGCAAGATTATCTGAACTGATTCAGTCAGGAACATATGTTGGAAATGGTTGTATTTAAACAAATTTGCTTCTGCTGTCTTGGTGATGTCACCTATTCAGACTTTCCTTGCTTGATGAATAAATAAATTGACATTTTGGCACTCCCTTTCTTTTCTTTTTTCCCATGCAGTCTATTACTTGGGAATAATGCTCTTTTCTTTTTTTTTTTTTCTGAAGGGTGGAGAATTCCTTTCCTGCAGAGAGGGGCAGGTTTTTGCTTGTTCAACTCAGATGCACGCCTAACCTTGGAGCGATGCATTTACCTCCCTGATTGTTTCTGTCATCTTGCTTCAACCTTGTACTGAATTCTTCATCCTGCATTTTCCTTTCTCTGCTCACATGGAAGCTTGCTGCTGTGTTTGTTCCACCCATGAGCTGACATGCATGCTAAGCTTTAGAGACTGCGCAAGGACTAATGGATCAAGTTCTTATATCATGCATGTGACAGGGTTCATGATGCTGTTAAGTAAATTGCTGGGCAGCGACCTCAGGGCCAAGCTTACACAGTGTGTATCTCACAGCTATGCAGAATTATGCCTGCAGTATGGTATGTATACCTGAGCCAGCTAATTGCATAAATAATAGTGAAATGAGCATCTGGTAGATTAGGACGGCCTATCTTGAGTCTTCACCGATAGCGTTACTTAAGCCAACTAAGTGGAAACCACAGTTGTTTGCATGTGTGTCTAAACTTCATTTTGAGTAAACAAAACTTCAGTTTCCAGAGTTACTCAGTGACAAAATCCTGATAGACCTCTTCTGAAATCTCAGACTCAATTAAATCTCTGCACAGGTTTTGGTTGTTGTGCTTCATCTTATTATGAAAACATCTAGATCCTGGAAAGCATGCCATATACTAAATATGTTAGGAATTTCTGACTAGTAATAATAATGAACTGAAGAGCGACAGAGAGGGGCACACCTTAGAGTGAAAGAACTGCATGTGTATACTTACAGGACCTCTAGTCTGCCAAATTTAGGTTCGCTATGACAACTTGAGAAGCTGTTTTTTCAGCTTATGATGATTCTGTCCATTGTCCCTTAAACAGATAAATGAGGAACGCTTTAATCTTTTACATCATACACATTATGGAAATGTATGTTGAGTGTTTGATTGTATGCTTACATTTAGAACAAATTGTTTAGTTTTCTATACCCTGAGAAAAAAGAAATGACAATTTACTTTATAAATGGTGAGTAAATTAATCTGATTTAATCAGTAATTGTATCAAATTATTTTGAGCTTATTATATGTTTCAGGCAGCTGACATTGAACCAGGCATTGATACTTACAGAGCCTATTTTCCATTGCAGGTATATGTCAACTTTGTATTCACACCCGGATTTTCCAGAAAAAGGACCAAAGGAGATTAATCAAGAATTGATGAACTCTGTGAGTCACAACCCACTTCTGCTGCTCACTCCTCAGAAAGTCAAACGCTACATTGAAGCACTGTGGAATAAGAAGAGCTCAGGCCAGCCTGTCACCTTCACAGATATCTTTGGAATGCTAATAGGTGAAACACTTATCCATAATGTGAGTTCATTTTTTTTATGATTATTAGAGTTGTGAAACTATTGCGTAATAACTGCTGTTACTATTTTTTTGAAATTACCTTGGTAGCATTTAACAAAGCATGTTTAGCAATAGTAATATTTAAAGTTATAGCTGAACAGATACTGGATAGGAAACTTATAAAATGCCTTCCTTGCTCTGGGACATGTTTCTGAATGGTACTCATTTCTTTAAGAGCTAGGAAAACATCATGCATTCACGTGCAACAGAAATTAACTCAGCTGCTGGGTACTTGCAGCAAGCTCTTAACATTGTGTATCATCCATTAAAATTACTGCGTAAGCAATTTCAACAAAAAATTACAAAATGGTATAACCTCTTTATGCACATTTTGCTATAAGAAAAGCACCATTTGCTTAACAAAATATTAATTTCAAGGTGAAAGGTCCACATCTCTTATTTATTATTACTTGTTTTTCTGAAAAAAGAGGCAATAGGAGGGCTTTATACTGTTGTATTTTATTATTGACAAATCCTAATTCACTGAATCAGGCACACAGACTTCAGGTTCAAATGAGTCAGGTGAGCAGAATTTGATCTTATCTTAAGATTGAAATGTGTTAATAGATTCACAGACTTGTTTTATGCACTTGCATCTTTAATGAGTATACATTGCCGTTAGGTTTTAAACACTCTAAAATACTGAAAAACAGGCAACACAGCTTTTAGTAACTGTGATATATAGGGTGAGTTTCTGACAATGAAGGGATGTTAATGATCCTGTGAGGCTGGTTAGAAGTCCCCGTTTACTAAGGAGTTAAAACAAATGCACAAATGTTTAGCTTAAATCTGAACCTGACACAGTCAGCAAAAAATTGAAATAAGGCTCTTGGTTATTCACAGATAACACATCTTAGTACTATTATGTCATAATGACTTTCAGCCTTTCTTGATTGCAGACTCCAGAATATTTTCTGGGGGAGATGCAGATCCTTGGTTAGCAAATGTAAGCCTCTTAATAGTCCATTTACTTAATTATCTTTGCTGACTTTTCAGAAACAGCACACATTGAAAAACGTTACATGATTATTAATGGCGGTTCTGCCTAAGAGGTTTTTCCTTGTTTTCATCTTTTACAGTAGCAGAGGGAAAGAACTTGCTTTGTGCAGCAATACTGTTTTCGGTTTTGGCCATGTTATTTTGGATTCTATAACACATTCTTATTTCGTCTTCCTATCATGTCTTCTCCCACTCCTTCCCTCCTGAATTGTGCATTTAAAAGGTAGTGAAGCAGATTACTTCCTTTTACAAATTCTTCTGTTCTGTTTTTCTTGGAAGTAACTGAGTTTGCCCATTTTCCTTCTCTTTGAGGATTTCAGAGAAATGAGTAGTCTCCCAAATATCAGCAAGCCTTTATAGGATCCATTTGGACATAATGTCTTTCTTTTCATGCAGAGAATGGACACCACTTTGAGCAACATGAAAGAGAAAATCAATAATGCCCGGTGTGCTCTCCCACTCTTTACATGTCTCCATGTCAAACCAGATGTCTCAGAGCTGATGTTTGCAGGTATGTTTTCAATCTGTGTATGGAGTCACTTGTGAAAAGAAGAGAGAAGTGCGTGGCTGAAAAAAAGCCTATTTTTTTAATACTTCTGAGAATAATTGTGTCCTGCAACTTGGTACATGTTGAAATTATTAGTCTTATGGCAAGGATTAGGAAAGAATTTGGTATGATATGAAACATTCTTTGGGGCTTAACAAAATTCACATTGTTATGAATTGAATACAGGGAGATTTTAATTTATAAAAGGAATAGGAAGTTGTGATGTTGAAGGATAATACCAAACAGGCACATCATAAGGACAGTTCTGATGGGTTTCAAAAGGTGATAGGGAAATGGACACATTTGTGTTCAGCGGCTTCTGGGAATCTGACAGTAGAGTCTGATAACATGAAGTTACTCCGGGATAAGTGTTCACATACTTAGGTAGGTGGATATTTATTCGACTGGTGCAGTATTTGCACCAAGGTTACAGGGTTGTGGAGAACAGGCATCAAATGGACATATTTGTCATGGCATACCATGGATCTGAGCCTTTTCTTGGCTTTTAAGATGCATCTTTTCCTGTCCATGGAAAGACAAACACACTGTATTTTAGGTCAACGGCCTTTTATTTCTCCATCATTCTTGGGTTTGGAGACTTATTCTTAGACCATTTTGTAAATGTTAATTTTTATTTTTTTACCTGAAAGTAAGTCTAACACAATAACAACCTCTTTAGGTTTCTGTGAAATGTTAAGTGGTGGCCAAGTTTTGTTCTCTATATGTTACAAAAAATGATTTCCTGCCAATTGAAAAGCATATTGCTTATCCATGAAGTAGCTAAGTACATTGCAGGAGTCAAGACAAAAAGAAAGCTGATGTTTCTCCAACAGCAGAAAGCTGCTTAACATTAGTATATCAAACAGGTAAAGGGAAATGTCTTCGGTCATACAGGATTATTCCTCTTTCTAAGAAGAGTGAAATTAGAATTGAACAAACAAATCAAATATACTCCCTTGTTTTTACTTCTTGCACAGTGTAAAGTACTGTTGGTAACACAAAAGGGGCTTTTGCTTTTATTTATTCCATAGGTTTTAATCCCATCTAGTAGCCTCGATTGAGAGTGGGTCCAATTGTCCTAGATGCTGTACAAAGAAAAGGATATGTATATCTATATAGTTACATGTAAGACTGAGAAGGGAAACACCAAGTGGCTTGCCCTAGGTTTATGAGTCAGACATTGTATCCACATTTCCTAAAAAGATTATTTGGAAAAGTTGCTGTCAAAACTTTGTTCATAATGGAAAATGAGATTGTAAATGAGGTTAAATTTTTCATGGGAGAGTGTCTACTTGCCTCCTTAGGAACCTGAAACCTTTTTGTTTGAAAATAAAAGTATTTTGTTTTTTGATGAGCTTCTATTTTCTGAGACATTTTATTTGGGTAACTTATTTACCATTTTAAAAAAAAAATTATCTTCAGTTAATGATGGCCTTCTCCAAGCAAGACCAGAAGCACCTGAAGGCTGGTCTAATTTCTCTAGCCTTAGCAATTAGCCTAAAAAATGTATTGCTGCTGCCAATAGATCTTATTTTTGCTTTTTTGAGGCTATCATCTATATCATTATATAGGATGCTAGATCTCGATCATTTCTATTGTAAGCTTTTTTTCTTCTTTTAGAACTGAACAGCTATTCTTGATGTGAAATATATAGTAAGTTTTGAACAGAAATATTTATACTTTCTTATTTACTAGATTATAGCTGTAGGTGAGATCATTCATGTTGTTTCAAGTTGAAATGCATTAATTATATCGGATAACATTCCTTCTGGGAGTGATGGTGCAAGATTTCATGCAGCTGCTAATAGCTTTCATGCCCCAGGCTCTGCATGTTTTCTCTACCAATAGCATTTCTGACCCAGGTGGTGCCGGCCATACCCAAAACTGCAGTAATCATTTTAACTGAACATAATTACAGTGATTTAGTTAGGGCTTTTTTTATTATTATGATAGCTTCTTTAATGATAAGAAATTACATTAAGATACTGATATCCAGTGTTAAAGAGGGGAGTGGAATTTAATGTTTGGCTTTGGTATTGCGTGCTTCCATCCCCTAACAGCCTTGTTCACCAGCTTTGCTGCTGCTGCAATGCCAGACCAGTGAAAATTTGGATTTTGGGGTATTGCTCTTGGAAGTCCTTACAGTAAACTTATGTCTGTGAGAGGGTGAGTGTGTGAGTTGCTCCATACGAGTAAGTGCTACAGAATTCATTGGGGAAGCAGGGCTGCCTTGGGATGTGGATTCATAGCACTTGGATCCCAGGCTCCAGGTTTCAGAGCAAACCTTCAGTCGGTGCTCAGTTAGCCATGTTCATCACTCATGCTGGATTGGGTATGTGGTTTTGATCTGCCCACGTGCAGCAAGGCTGGACTGTGAAGTGAATCTGGTCTCGGTGTGTGCCTACAGTCCATGCATTTATGTGCCCAATCCTGAATCTGCCAAATGCTTAATGTTGGCAAAATACTACCTTTCTGTCTTCCCTCCTGAGAACAGGAAAAATCTGTTACATCTTCGGCTGGTATGAAGCAATGTAGAGTTATGATCTAACTTACATCAGGGCCACATCCAAAATGCAGTGAACACAGCTGAGAGGTTTGACTTTAGTACATTTTAGATTAAGCCACAGCCAAGGAACTAACCCAGTTTACTGGGATATAAACACTAAGTATTTCTCTTGGTATAGAGTTCTTGTCTCTTGGGACATTCAAGTCCTGCTCATTTAAATGGCCACTGTCTCAAGGAGCTTCTGGAATGGCAGAAGCTAATGCTGAAGCCCTTAAAATTAAAGGCAGAAGTCTTACTTCCCTAAGCAGGATATGTGATTTAAGAAATCATCTTCTTCAGTGCAAATACAAAAATGAAAGTGGATTATCACAGATTAAATTAATTCTAATTCTAAATTTAGTTTTGCTGTCAACATGGTTCTGAATACATAACCTGCCAATTCCTGTTTATATATCTAAAGGGAAATACCATTAAATTCCTGGATTGGGTCTTCAAAGGAATTTTCTTCTGTTCCAATAAATGTGAAAATTTGTGGGTGGTTTATTTGGAAAATGGGATGTTGTATTTGACTTAGCATAAATAAATGTTGCCCCACGAAACAAAGCTCTCAGCAGTCATGATTAAATCTTTCTTTTTCAGGACGAGTGGTTAAACCTTATGCTTAACATTTCAACAGAAACACTAATATCTTGAGGAGTGGATGACATCCTGTGACTTGTGGGGCTTTTTCAAAGCTGTTTCTTTTGCCTTTCTATTTCAGAATTATTTCTACTTTGTTTACAGAAGCCGTCAAATCAATCACTCCTAAAAATATGGAACATAAAATGGATGAATGGGTGAAATACTAAAAATGTAGGGTATTTTTTGTTTGTATTGCTCCTTTTTTGAAATGAATTCTCTGATGTAAGCAATTCCACTGGTATCAAAGAAAATATTTCAAAATCAGCTAAAATCCATTTTCAAAAAAGGCATACATCATAGAATGTAAATTACTTCTGAAATTTTCTGCTAAGATCAAAAAGTGCATTTGAACATTCTATTCCATATTTTTATTGAGCTCTCTATTCAATAAAATGGCATGTACTTTTAAAAATGTATTTTGCATCGTTTGGTATTAATAAGTTTATCAGCTGCCTCTCAGCTTTGCCTTTTCATATTGGATTTCACTAGAAACTTTAGGTTTTGGTGGAATCCAAATGCCTCTCCTAGAATCATTCATAACTTTTGTCATATTAAATATCTTTTCTGCCACCTTTGTCACTGTCCTCCACATTTTTGGTAGGATCACAGTGAAAGAAAAGAAACTTGGAACTTAGACCCACGTTGCATTTCATGTGAGAGGGAATCATGTTGAAGCATGAGATGAAAACCAGATGTCATTTTGTTTTTCTCATTTGTGATCGCTACTTTTAAACTTCTATTTTTACTACCTGATATTTTTTCACTGAAGTTTGTTGTGATAAGAGAGAATGAGAATGAGGATTCCTTCTCTGCTGAGACATTAGACTGTCCTTCATTTGAAATAAAAATTTTGCCTTCTGCACAACCTAAGAGATATTCCTGTTGGTTATTTAGCTTCCCATTTAATTAAAATTTCTTTGCTTGGACAGAGGTTTCATTCGTTTATGTATTTTCATCCTGTTTCTATTCAGGTTGAGATTGCTAAAGGACAATTTTGTTTCTTATTTTGCAGACTGGGTGGAATTCAGTCCGTATGAGATTGGTATGGCAAAGTATGGCACTTTTATGTGTCCTGATTTGTTTGGAAGCAAATTTTTTATGGGGACAGTGGTGAAGAAGTATAATGAAAATCCCTTGCATTTCTTGATGGGTGAGTATGTGACAGAAAGAGACTTTAAAATAAAACTAATTTCAGTAGTTCATGGACAAGGGCTTTTAAACACAATCACAAAAGGTGTGAGACAACAAGCAGAGTTCTCCATTTGTTGGAAGACATCCATTTGAAACATTTCACAGACATGGATTGGCATTCCCTGTTTTTTTGTTTCTGGTATGTATATCTGAACTCATGACTTAGCATGTTCTAAAATCAGAGGTGTGTTCAGAGAGCAAGCAACTGCTTAAATAGTGCAGTGTATGGTTTTTTTCTTCTACCAGCCTCCATTCATTGTTTACTTTTTCCCTTTCAGGCGTCTGGGGCAGTGCATTTTCTATATTATTTAACAGAGTGCTTGGCGTCTCCAATTCTCAAAATAAAGGTCCCACCATGGAAGAAGAATTAGGTAATATAAGTAAATAATTCTTCTACTATGCAAAACAACTACTAGCAAGATTCAGTGCACTCTTACTCTTTGGAAGAATGGCACTCTGCTGGTAGTCATTTTAAGAATGTGGAATTCAGGTAACTTTAACTGCTGAAATTGCTAGATAGTAATTTTCTTTCTTTCACTTTTGTTTCTAATCAGTATCAGAGGTACTGAAAGTCACCTGCATATATCTAGCTATTTTCATAAAGTTAAAAGAATCCAACTCCCTTTTTTATGTCATTATGCTAGTTTTTGGACATCAAAAGCTGACAAATACTTGATAGTTACTTGTGTAGTCTCTTGACACTGGACTGTATTATTCAAGGGATTAGTAAAGTAAAACCAAATTTTATTACCTCTGGATTGTTCGATTGTTTCATTCTAACCACAAGTCACCTGTTGGTATCTGATCCTTTGCTTACTAATTTAATGATTTTTGTTTCATTCCTAATGCACAAATGACGTAATGACTGTAAGGAAAGAGTTGTAGCTTGGTTTGAATAGACTTTATTGTGTTTTATTCAAGAATGCAGATGATAATGAAAGGTTTTTTTACACTTTTTTTCCTATTCAGAAGATGGCATTACAGGGAAATATGTAACCAATAAAGAAATTGTACTGGACAGCCAGAATTTTGTGAAGAGCATGGAGAGAAAATGCAGATTGAGTTGATTTTAAAAAAAACAACAAAAAACCGCCAAGCCCCTTAGCTGTTTCTGTCTCCTAATAGATGGTATTCAGCTGTTTGATAATGTACTTATTTATGGATGAAAATGAGACCTGTGCCTCCAGGTTCATATTTCTGATACACCTTATGAGTGTTAGCACCTACTAATGGAGGATCTCTGTCAATAAATTTGATAGTGGAAAAGTCTGTGTCATTGCTTTTTAAGATGTTGAGAGACAGAATGTTATCTCTCGTCTGTGGCTCATTTCACATATAATTTAAAAAATACGCTTTGAAGTTGGATTAGATGTGACAATACTAATGTGACTTGAACCACAGTCTATTAGCAGAGCTGTAGATGTCCCAGTGAAACCTTGGTACCACCAAAGCGAATGGCAAAATGCCAGTGGACATTAGAACAGAAATCACACCTAGAAGCAGTAAATAATAAAGTTTGCATGGGGGTTGCTTTAAAGAGATGGTTTGAGGTCCAAAAATTGCATTTGTTGTTTTTGTTAGCTTCCTTTTTTGGTCACTAATTTTTATTTTGACCTGTCTCCTATGTCATTGCTCAAGAATTTGTACATGTTTGTCTTTGGTGCGTGTTTGTCCATTGATGGTATTTGGTATATTGAGGACCCACTGAGTATTAAAAAGAAAAAGTATTTAAGGAAAAATACATGATGACCAAGCTCTTCTGTTTCTGTGGGGATTTTTACAGTGTTGTATGGAAGTCTAAGAGGGCATAATCCTCAGAAAAAAAGCAACAGTGGTGGTCATCTGTATCCAGTATTCATTACCAAGGGTAATAAAGCTGTGGATTTTCACACTTGGTATTACAGTGACTCTCTCTTCAATCTTCTGTTTCAGCCAGGTGTGCTTATAGGAATTAGATTTAGACTTAAGCAAAAAGTGCAAAGTGTAATTGCCACTGCTTTGATACTGCATTGGGTAGAAATTACAGCATTTGTTGGAAATTACAGCCCAAAGCAGGGGTATGCCACCAGAGACCCACATCCACACTATCCTTCTGTGAGATAAAGTAAATGTTATTTTATTTTCATTTTTTAATGGAAAAAAAACAATTAGTTGATAATATGTTCAAGTTCATTAGGAAACAACCCTCATTCAGTTTATTTTAACTGGCTTCAAATTTCAATTAGAGATGATTCCTAGCATACATTATACTAGGGAATAAAGGGTTTTAGTTTTCAAAAGTCTTCTCTTGGATACAGTTGCATCACTGGACTTCAGTCTCTGTCTCCAGTCTCTGTAGGATATAAGCTTCCAAGATGAGGCTGCTCATAAAACATTGCAAATCTACTGTATTTCAAGAAAGGCTTCCCTCTATAATTAGCAGAAATAATTTTGTCAGCCTATAATCCATTTTCACATGAATTCACCTCCACTACAAACCTTACCTGAGGAGTGGAATGTGCTGCTTTTTCAGCACTCATTTTGGCTTTGAAATAATTCCTTGAGATAGTCATGAAAGGTTAACCATGACTTTGTGGTTGTTTTGGAAACAAAGCTGTTAACCCTAACAAAATGCAGATTTTTGCCAGAGAAGTACACTCATTTCTGTTTTTATTTCTCTCACTTAATGTTATGAGATGAAAACCATAACTGTATTGGCCTTTATTTTTCACACGTACTCCAGTAGAACTTTCATAACCATCTTGGCTTTTGTTTTTCCCCACTATTTCTAAGGGTACCCGTTCATATATGTATGAATGAGATTAAGCGTTCCCCTTTTTTTTTTTTTTTTTTTAAATTAGCAAGTAATTAACAGAAATTAACGTTGTCTTCCTAGTTCACTAGGAGTTATTGAAAGGACAGAAGCTATACATCTAAATTTTAATCAAGGTGAATGAAATGTGTCACATATGTGGTGCAGAGGTGAGTGGTAGGTACTGCTTTAGGATTACATTTTGTTTTCTCAGCCCTTTGGCTAATCTTAGTGCAGGAGCTTTGCAAAATTTGCAGGCTAAAGCCAATATATTCTGATCAGATTCTCAACATAAAGAAGTCCACAGCAGATTGAATCTCTTCAGCTGTATTTTCTATTATGAAGACTATGTTAGTTTTATGACTCAAATTGTTTTGAAATTCTTAGCTGTTCTGATAATTAAATCCTAGCAGTTAAAAGTAATTTTTTATTTCTTTAAACAGAAAATATTAGGCTAAAGCACCTTGTAAGCAATGACAGTTCAGACAGTGAAGATGAATCACAGCATCCAAAAGGTAAGGAAATCCTCACATTTTATTTCATAGTTTACTGTTTTTATCAGCTTTCGCGTTGCATGGTCAAGTTTGTGGATGTTGGTAATTAGCCATAGCTGGTTTTCCTTAGTCTTACCAATAGTCTTTTATAACTGAGAGCTCTGCTCTCATTTATACCAATGATAAAACTTAATTGCCTAGCCCAAGGATCTTAAAGGAGCCAGTGGCTCAGCAAAATAGAGAAATGTTGAACAAGAGATGTCAGGAGGGCCTTTGGCTTGACTTCATGCCTCCTGCTCAAGTTGATGATCAAATGATTCTCTCACACACCTTCAATCTTGGCATCAGCCCAACGGGGCTTCACAGAGGTCCGCAATTTCACATACACCCAAAAATTAGGCTTGCTGAGCCAGTAATGTCCAGAAGTCTGTTGCCAGCAAGCTACTGAGCTCAGAGGTATGTTCGAATTGTTATCAGCCCAGCAAACTAACACTATCCATTGTTTTCAGGGATTCCTTGATCAAATATTAGTTTGTGTTTCCAGCATTCATAGATGTCTTCTAGCACCTTTATAAGTGACATCTGATACAGGAAATTCCTAGTGCTTGGCACAGTGTTTTAAACAATGCCCAAATGCAGTTTCCCAGAAGAGGCACAACCACAAGGGGAACACTGGACAGTGGGAAGAAAAGATCCTATTGAAATTTATCTTTAGGCACCTAAACCACCTGGGGATTTCTGTAATTTTAGTCAGGGTCTCTGTCTCGTCCTAATAATGCTTTCTGTATTTGATGAGGACAACAGTGATTTTCACCTGAAGAAATCGATTATGTTTTTAACAAATAAAGCAAAGATGGGAACTCAGCTCTTTGTAATTTTAGGATCTACAGGAAGAAAAGAAAATCTTGTGTGATGAGACAGTGAATTATGTCATTAGCTCAGTTAAATGATTACTTCTTCATTTGTAAAATGTGAAAAATTACGTGTAAAATAATAGGGAGAGGGTGCTACCACATTTTGTGTTTATTTGCGGATTTCCTGTGTAAGCACTATAGCCAGCACGAAACGCTACATTTCTCTCATAGTTTGTAGCCATAGTGGACAGCCTACAAATCTGTGATTTGTAAAGACTTGGTCATCCCTCTCACTTCTATAGAATATTATTGTACACATGTTGGACCTCTAAACCTTGTGGTGTTTGATGCTTGTTTTCTCTCTGCTTATATAAAAATCAGCTCCTTTACAGCCTGAATTAAAGAGGCACGTTTCAGTGCCAGATTTAAAGTATCAAGCCTGAGCCTGAATTACCTCCTTATACAAAACACCTCAAAAAGTCAAGTTTTGACAGTACAAATGCAAGATGACACCAATCCAAGTTATTTTTACTGCGATGTCTAGCTGTAGACATCTAAGTTTGGACATTTCGTTGCACTCTTTAGTTAATTAAAACCAGATACAGATTGTAGTCTACAGTTTACTGAAAGGATATTTTCAGATATTTTAGAATTCCCATGCTATAGCATTCTCTTTTATGCAGACTGACTTTGCCTTCTTAAGGAAGACTGGATTTCTAGCAGTCAGCAAAGGATGGAGAAGGGTGTCAATACACATCCAGATGAATTAGGTCTACATAGAGCATGGATCTTGGTGACTCAAGTCTGTCCCCTGAGCCCAGGAGAGTTTGCATTTTGGGTGCTAGCACAGATAAAGCCATATCCTCATTGCCCTTGCCACCCAGACTAGTTAAGTCCGGCTCAGGTTATCTAACACATTCCCTATCTATTTTCCTGATGGATACATCCACACTACTGTACTGCAGATGAAAAATTTCATTAGCCTGTGAAGGTAAGAGGATGTTTCTCTCCATTCCTCTGAACATTCAGTCCACGGCTCCTTGAAAGAAGGCTATGACCCAGTTCCTTTTATTTTAATAGGTCCTTTGTTTTAGTAGACCCAGAAATCTTGGGTTTATATGTGCATTAACTGTCTCACCATTGGTTATTTTCATTTTCCTCTACAGGCACTGAAAATGCTGAGGCAAATCAAGAATATCAGAGCAGCAGCCAAGAAAGCTGGGTGCAGCGAATGCTGATGGCTTTGGTGGGTGATAGTGCCCTGTTCAACACCAGGGAAGGGCGTGCTGGGAAAGTGCACAACTTCATGCTGGGATTGAACCTCAACAGCTGTTACCCACTCTCTCCTCTGGCAGACCTTCTTACTCAGGAGTCCGTGGAGGAAGATGAACTAGATGCAGCCGTTGCAGGTTAGGTCAGAGAAAACCTACGTTGCTGCATATTCATTAGTAAAACCAGAAACAGTGTGTTTTCAGTGTGGTAATATCGAACTGTGAGGCTTACTACAGCAGGTACCTGAAGGCAGGAGAACATTTCTGTGGCAGCAGTTGTGAGTATTGATTAGCAGCAGAGGTTATGAGGTGACTGGGTGTCACAGAGGGCACTGCACAGTGACTTCTGTGTGCTGCCTACTTCCCGTGTTCCCTGGCAGAATGTGCAGAACAGTCAGTACCTTTTGGAGGGGAAGTGGCTCTTTGTTTTGAAGGAATTGCTGGCAGAGGTGACCAAGCTGCTTTTGTGTATGGTGCCCTTCATTAAGGCCACTTTCTCACTCTCTTGGACTCCTCCAAAGGGTATCCTGTGTTGTTCCTTTTCTCTTCCTGGTGCTAAGCCTTCTGGTGGAAACAAAACCTTTCCTTGTCCTCAAGGGCAGGACTTCCCTGTTGCAAAAACTTTATAGCTCTTCTGCTGTCTTTGTCTTCCTCTGAAAAACCTGTGGAGGCAACACACTTCTTTAAGTGTAGATCCTTGCTTTGCTGACACCAGGTTCTTCCCAGTGTGACTGATCTGTCAGGTGCATTCACATTTCACATGTGACTGGTGTGTAGATGCATCCACATTTCATATTGGCATAAGCAGGATGCA